TTTTTTCTCACGAGCAAGAGAAAGGAGATGGGTGAGGAGTTGGTTTAAGAGCTTTAATTTGTAGTGAGGACAATGGCGCCTTCGAGCGGAGGAGGCTTTTAAAGAGAACGAAGGGGTATTTTGGGGATTTATTGTTTTTGTTGGCGGTTAGTGGACACTGCTTAAAATTAAGGCTTAATTACAGCTGGCTCTTGATTCGTCCACATGGACTTTGGGATTCTGAAGAGCGAACTAATTAATCATGACGTAACTGGGCCGCATACTGCACGTTAGTGGATCGCAATGCACTTTGTAAGGCCCAAATCTACTGTGGGCTTAATAGATGAGAAAAAAAAAGAAATAAAAGAAAAGACTTGGAGTACAGATATGTTAAATCTTTTTTGTAGAGTTTGTTTTTATTTGTAAGAGAAGTAAATTAAATTATGGAAGGATAAAAATCCTTCCTATTTTTCCATTAATTAATACAATCTTTCAGAAGATCGCAGAGACTATATCAGAGCATTTCAGTTTTAAATCTCTCTCTCTCTCTCTCTATTCTTCTCCAGTAAGATATTTTTAAATAAATAATAAATATGAAAAAGATAAAGAATATATTGAAAAAGGGCCGTAGGTGTGACGTCACCGAGATGCTATTTCTAATAATTTACAATAGATTTGGAATATTTTCCATCTCAAACTAAAACTCTCTAGTAATGAAGGGGTAGAAAAACATGACGTGATAATTAGAGGGCAATTCCGCAAATATCATGATACAAAGGGTAAAAGTGCAAATATAGAAGATTAGGGTATATGCAAAAACCCCTTTAAAAAAGGGTTAATTGCCTATTAGTCCCTTATATCTTTTCTAATTACCAAATAGTCCCTCAAATCTTAATATTTGCTTATTAGTCCCATAAATCTTCAGTTTTCTTGCAAGATGGTCCTTCTGTTAGAAAAACTGTTAACTTCTCTAACTCTAGTTGAGTTAATGCGTAACCGAACAACTCAAGTTACCTTATTACCCATGAGGTATTATATTGCCCTTGTAAGTTTTGGGTTTAGAGTGAAGCTAGTCATGGGAAAGACCTTAATTTTGGGTTTGGTGAAGAAAGAAGGTGGATTTGAGTTGTTATAGGTAGGGGTATGATGGGTATTTTACCTAATTCCGTCACATTTAATGGTCATTATTAACACCAACTAACACGGGGGACGGATTGGCAAAAAAACTAAACATTTAAGGGACTAATAAACAAAATAATGAGATTTGAGGGATTAGTTGGCAATTAAAGATGATGTAAGGGACCAATATGCAATTAACCAAAAAAAGATAACCTTTGAACTTATCATTCCATTCGACTAGCAAACTAAACACCCACCTTCCCAATTTAAACTCGTCCTCATTGTTGGGGAATTTTAGTCTGCGCAACTTGAAAGTCAACTCACAATCAACAAGATAGAAAACAACCGCAATTAAGAAGAAAGAACACCGAGATTTACGTGGTTCGGTCGACCAACTTTAACGTACGTCCACGGGGTAACAATAGGAGAAATCCACTATGTATCAGGGAGAACTACAAGAAAAATCACTTAACTCTCATCTCTCAACCTCACATACATAATCAACTTTCATGTTCTCTTCGAAACCCTCTCCTTACAATCTTTTGAATGGACAAAGACTGTGAAACTCTCTCCCAATGATGTAATCTTCTGCGCGAACAAAAACTACCGAACTCTCGCCTCTCGCACAATATTCTTGAATCGGATTACGTCCTCTGCTAACCCTAGATTATAAGAATATTTACTCTCTCTCCTCTACTTGGTTTTTCCTCTAACAATAGAAGAATATATATAGGAAAACCAAAACATTATCTCTAGGCTAACTTCCTAATTAGAATAGGGTTCAAACTTCTAATCATGATGTGACCTAATCTCTTAATTATGATAGATCTCTAACCCTATCTAATTCTCATAAAGTTATACAAAGAATCAAAGACATAATCCCAACAATCTTCATCTTGGATTTGATTCCCAAACTCCATTGAAGATATATCATCGTTGTCTTAAAACTTTACCTCTCCCGCGAGAGGCTTTTATTTTTTTTGCACTTCAAATCGAATCACCTACACTCCAACTGGATGCCCCTATGACTCTCACTCTCATCTGTCTCTTTGTGGCGCCTTCATTTCTCTTGTGTGCACCAATAGATTTTTGCCACCTCTGACATTAGAAGTAAATCAACCATGCTTCTCCTCCCAAACTAAACTTGACAGTAGCCTTCCCCCACTTGCTGTCCTCCTACTCCACCTGCATCACTCGTCTCGAAATATATCGGTACACCTCTCCTACTCCACACTACGAGCTGGATGCCTCTATCTCCTTCATCACTTGGCTTGGACCACATATGAGCGCTCATTGTCTTCAAGTCCAATGCCACCGTCTCCATCTTTGTGTATGTCACTTAATCGTGCCCGCTTGCAAGCTCTATCTAGTCTGGCACTGTCCTCCTCGAGTCCACACACCAACCAACTACTGCTCCCGCGATGACTCTGAATAATTATATACTGATAACTCTACTGCTAGAATCAAATCTGATTCTCTACGTCAGTCTCATCTGTCGCATACTCGTTTGTATTATCTGCCATCAGATCTGACTCGTCATCACCATCCGATCTTTTAAGTACTTTCTGAGCAATTTGAGCATAATCTGAAAAATCAAACCTTTTCCATCGCGTTCAGAGCACTCCAAAACCTAGGGATCAACTCCTTGATCGCCAATGTCCGCCATCGATTCGGGCATCTACTCACCAATCATTCTAGACTGATATATTAATCGGTTCGCCCATCATCTCCTAGAAAGCAATTATTCTCCATATTTTTGACAAAACAAATACAAGAAATAACTTTCCATGAAATTGAATGAAACACCAAAAAGTGAAGGAATGTTGGACTTGGAAAACGGAGGAAAGCAACCAAACAGCCCTTGATATTAACATTTTTCTGGTTTCTTGATCTTAAATTTTTAAGTTCTAGGAAATCTTAGTTGTGAATAAGTTCACAAGGAAAATCAACTTGTGCACAAAGAGACTTTTTTAAGTTCTAGGAAATCTTAGTTGTGAATAAGTTCACAAGGAAAATCAACTTGTGCACAAAGAGACTAAGTCACTTGTGGAATCCTTAAAGATCATCAACTTGTGCACAAAGAGACTAAGTCACTTGTGGAATCCTTAAAGATCACAAGAAAGATTTTATCTTTTTAATATCTAATATAAAGAAAACTCAACCCTCGTCCTATAGATGTAACTGACTGTCGAGCAGCATAAATCTCTTGTCTTCGTCTCTTGATTTGTTTTATGTGATTTGCATCTTTCTTTTTGGTTCAACTAGTTACTTATCAGAGTTTCTTCATTGTCCGGTGATTGATTAGTCTATGAAAAATGAGGAGATCTAATCAGATGCTTCGATGACGCTTTAGCAAAGTACACTTTTGCATAGATTATCGGCTGGTGCGCAAGAATCAATGTCAAATTGCGGTGGCATGCGCCAATAAAATCTCCCTCCTCTTCGCTTAATAGAGGAGGTTCTTTATCCAGTAGTTATAAATTTATTTGTAATCTTCGCTTAATAGAGGAGGTTCTTTATCCAGTAGTTATAAATTTATTTGTAATTCAATTATTTCAAATATGGTGAAAAATTTCCTTTGGAAATAGTCAAGGAGAAGATTTCAAATGGTTTACACTTTGCTAGAATTACGTAGTAAAAAAATAAACATAGAGACAATTTATTCATTAACGATCAACATAAAACAAAATGATATTTCTAGATTAATATATTGACAAAAGAAATTGCATAAATCCATTCCAAAAGAAAACACAATATTACAAAACATAAAAGTTTGGATGAGAACATGTCATGTAATCTTGAAAACCATTGTTACCTTGAAAACCACTAGTATCATAATAACTAGGGTAAAATGATCGTTCCCCTTAAAGTATTGGTAAACTATCAATATGCTCTCTAATGTATCGAATTACCTATTTTGTTCCCCCAAACTACATTTATGGTTTCAACGAGATCATTTTGTGAGTCTATAGTAAAATATTTAGCAGGAGGTTAATGATGCAATAGTATATTTTTGTTTTTCTTCATGGATTTCATCAGTTTACTTCATGGATTTTATTAGTTTATATGGGATTAATATGTAAAAACGCCCTTACATAATGCAGAATGTGGATCATTTTTATAAGGTTTTTTAAAAACTAAAACAATTATGTCAATAATTACCTTCGATAAAATCAAAATTCAATCCTTCGCTACAGTTCATATGGGCATTCAACCTTGACCAGTGCAATTGCAAATGCGCTAACAGTCATATTTGATAAACGGTGGGCCGCAATTCCGCAAGGCCGTGGTTGGCGGTCCTCAAAAAATTAGGCCACCGGCCTAAATGCATGTTCATCAAATACTCGTACAATATATATTTTAATATCATTTATGGTTGCTTTTTAATAGAAACAGTTTCGACACTAAAAAAACATACTGGAGATCCACGTATCTCAAAAAGAAGAAAAAAAAAAAAAAAAAAAAAAAAAAAAAATTTAACGTATCCCAAAAAAAAGAAAAAAAAGGATATCTCAAAAGCAAAAATTTGTTGGTTGCGTCAATATAATCTAAAATGAAGAACAAAACAAGTAGGCGATATCCTGAAAGGCGTCTTCCAACTGAGCATTGCGGTCCGATGAATTATCAGGACACGCCAACAACTTTCCAATTATTTTCAACACCATCTGCCTGTAATCTTCACTATAGTCATCGAGTTCTTTAGATATTGATCTCTTGAGATGCGCAACTCCCAACTTATTGGCCAAAGCAACGGTTGCATCGGCCAACAACACGTACTTGTCCCTTCTCGTCATCATTCTCGTCTACATAATTAGCACGAAACAACTAGGCTCGCCCATAATTAGCAAACACTGTAACTGAACGTCCTTGATCTCAGCTAGGCTTTTGATGGCTTCGAATCCAATCTCCTTCATCTCCTCGTCGTCTACCGAAAGTCTCGACACGAGCAATACCCCGTTCGCTACGTTCCAATTGATGTCGCTGGGATATGGATACGTTAGAAGTTGAATAATGCAAGTGAATAGCTTCACCAGCGCTCCCAACACTTTCCCTCTTCGATGAATAAAACCAACTCCATCTCTGCTGAAGAAATCGAAGAGTCGATGCAATATCGGTTTATAAAGTGCTCATATCCATAGGGTGCCACCGCTTTAGCAAGAGCAGCGAGAGATAAAGCTGTGATTCGCATGATTTCTAAATCCTTGTGAAGGAGACCGAGCTCCATAAGTTCAATTAGAGGCGAAAGATGTGGCAGCAACGTGCATCCGATCCTCACAGCAAACTGCTCCGCCATTCTTATAGCAGCACAACGGACTCGCAATGGCTCAATTCTTCGACAACAACTTTCGATGAACGGGAAAACAACATGAATCCCGAGTGCAGATGCTACGATCCCCATAACTTTGACCGCCACATCCCTTACGTAATCACTACTGTCATTCATCTGAAGACGAATCAGCACAGCAATTTCATCCAGACCCGTGATTTTGCTGAGAGTGTAGATGATCTCGCTCGCCTTGATGCAACAATGAGAGGAGGCATCTTCAACAAAAGGTTGGGCAACTAATATAATTCGAGAAACCAAAGGTCGAACTTTGTCCTCATCGCAACTGGGCAATACCTTGTTCATGACTTTCAGTAGGAAGCCGGCCTCTTCATCTTCTTTGTCCTCATCGCAACTGGGCAATACCTTGTTCATGACTTTCAGTAGGAAGCCGGCCTCTTCATCTTCGAGTGATTTGCGCTCTGTCAGCGTCCATGAGAGAGTGCAGTCAAGTACGTCGATGGGCTCAATGCCCACATCATGAATACTTCGGGTGAGGTTAATAAAAAATACTGACTTTTGATGAGAGGAATCGTTCATCACTCTTGAGAGTAGATTCTTGACAAGTTCTCGAGAATTGGTCTTCAATTTCTTCTCGGGCGACAACCCATCACTTCCTACACTTTCATTGACAACAAATATTGGTCGTTTATGAGACGCGTTCCCTTTGTTCTTCATCTCATCGCGCTCCATGGTATTATTTTCTTACCTCTGGGGAATGCAAATTGATCTGTCGAATTGATCAGAAAGAGATGACTTATACAACGGAAGGGGTTCTGTAGTCCCATCAGGGTTTTCATTGATTGCATGAATCCTACTCTGAGCAGCGGTAGGCAATCCAAATTCCAATTCTTCGCAGGCTTCTGTTTGGGCCCCTCCCTCATTGGCCACAACCTTCTTTTAGAGTGTGTGATTTGTGAATTATGTTGGAGATTTGCGACTAAAATAATAATAAATTTGGCTAAAATCACCAAAATTTTAAGGGATCATATTTGATGCTTGGTTTCTGTACTGTAGCTTCATACTAGAATTGATCCACCTATTTTATTTTAATTGTCAGCATTTTACAGCAAACTCTCACTAAGTTTCAAAAATCACACTAAATCCCTCAGTAACTTTCAAGATCACACCAAACGCCTAATAACTTTCAAAGTCGCACTAAATTCACGATAACTTTTGCAAAAAACACACAAAGTTAGCATTGTTACATCTCATGTAGCACATGCAAACTCAAATGACATAGAAAGAACAAAATACCCCTTAAATTGTTTTTTTTTAAAAAACCATGTATGAGTTTTCAATATTTTCAATCCAAAAATAGAAATATCTCATTTTTTGTGATTTGTTTTCCCATTGCTCCCTCTGGTTAGAGTCATTTGAACCTATATTTTTTTTTCCTTTTGCTGAAATTATCCTTCAAAATTTCTTTTCGTGTTGTTTTTTATTTTGTTTTAATTATGGGGGTTATCTGCAAAATGTAGAAAATTGTTAGGATTTTCTGCAATTCCAAAATTTATTGAGGTTTAGCGTAAAGTTATTGGGGGAGTAGGGTAAGTTTTGAAAGTTCTTGGGGGGTTAAGGGCGATGTTGAAAGTTATTACTGCAAAATGCTAAAAGTTTAAATAAAGCAAGAGGGCTAATTTGAGTGTGAAGCACTAGGGCAAGGATTAATTTAAGAAAAATAAGGTACATAGATCACTTTGAGTATAAAACTCCACTATTATTACGAAATTAGCATTTTAGCTTTAAAGTATTGGTGAACTTTTAAGTTGCCTCTTAAAGTATTCATTTGTCTATTTTCCTCCTTAAACTATGCTTGTGTGTTCGGTGTGATCATTTTGTGAGCCTATGGTCAAATATTTAACATGCAATAGTGGTTTTTTTTACATTTCTTATATTTTTGGCAATCTAAAAAGCAACTTTAATTCATAAAAGGGGTTAAATGGTAAAATTTTTTTGGGAGTAGTTGAAAATGTTTCTTAACTTGGGGGGAAAAAGAAGATAAATCGATACAAACTCATCGAGAAATACAAAAAGTCATTTTTTACGTTATTAATTTATTAAATATTTGATGGTAGACTTAGACTGGGGGGATAAAATAGATAAATTGATATTTTAGAGCCAACTGTAGAGTTCACCAATACTTTAGGGGAAAATGGTTATTTTATCCTAATATGTGTGGAAATGAGCTGTTCGGATCAATGATTGATCAGATTTTGTCGAAATTTTTTCATTTTGTTGAAAGTATTACATCTAGTTAAACTAGTGATGATTTATTTACTTACATCTGCCTTTTTATATTGCAGCCCATTGTTCCTAGACCCAAAAATTATATATTCAAACTCTATTCTACACATAGTTTTGGCCTTCCGATCTGTTGTCATCACCTCTACGACTCTATCTATTTATATCTGTATTATTATACTACTAATATTGCTGCCACTGGAGCAGCCACTCAGCAACCATTTAGCTCTTATCTATCTCGCATGAACAAAACTCTCCAAAGGAAAAAGAGAAAAAAACTGAGAATTTGTTGACAACCCCCAAAAAATAGAGAATAATATAAAAAGGAAAATTTGTAATAAAATTTGTTAACAACTGTTGGAAGGTGATGAATGCTGTCGGTCGACTAATTTGAACAACCAGTCGACTGAAAACTGATACATAGGAGTTTTTGCTGAAAAAGTGGTTTTCTAAATACAATTTAAAAATAGTAAAACAACTCTAAAATTAGTAAAATTTGGGAAAATGTTTATATACATGAAAACAAACATGTTAGAAAAGAATTTCTAAAATAACATTTACCATTTGTGAAAACTCATCATTTTGCAAAACGTCAAAAATACGAGTTCGTTGAATTCTTGATTTTGACAAAATGATTTCAAACAAAATTGAAAATTCTTTTGAATGGATTAATGGACTTAGAAAAGATGTAAAACAATTATATTAAGTCAATAATCGAAAAACACATTATTTTCTCAAATGAATGTTTAATTATCAATAAATCAAAATGTGCGTATGTGAATAGTTTGAGCTTTAAGTATGAGCACATAAAGTAAAAGCCTAAACTATTTTACCCGAGCTAATAGTCTTCGTTAGAGCTCGATCTTGGTAGCGGATGAAGCGATGGAAATTCTTGACTTGAATTGCGACGGTTTCATTCCAATTTCCTTCCAACCTCCTTGATATTGTTAACGTGCAATATCCAAATATCAACCTGGATGTATGTTGGAGGAAAACACAAATACTAGAAACCAAGATGAGAAATTATTTGTTAATCATCAAAACAAGGTTAGACAATTGGTTCATAAACATGAGACCTAACATGGATTGTTATTGGTCACTCACCACTAGTCCTGAGTACTGCTTTAGCAATGATGTTATGCTTATGCCTCCTGTCATATGCATTCTTATATCTTCGCTGCATGGATCTATGAAGACTTGAGTTATTCTACTCTCATCTCATCGTTAATTAGGCAAACTTTAAGTTATTATTGGTACAACTATTTCTGTCTTATTACTGATGCAATTATTTCTATCCATCTTTTCTGAATGTTGTTGCTTATTCACCTTGTTCTCACTTCATCACGTCCTAATCCAAGGACTGCCCTTCTGCCCTTTACAAATTATTCAAGAACAAGGGCTTGGAAACCCCTTATATTAACAAAAAGATAGCGAAATCTAGAAAAAAAGAAAAAAAGAGAAAGAAACTTGCGTCTCTCCTCAATATACATGCCAATTGTTTTGATGTCAAGTTTTTTTTCGTTTTCCTTCTATTTCCCAGAGGACAAGCAGAAGAGCATAGATATCGAGAGTGCTTGTGAACTACTGGATCTAGTGTTAGGCTTTCAATTTCGCCCGCAGGTTGAAAAACTTGTTGAATACCTGCGTTTGGGAACTTTGATTTGGATTTGGGAACTTTGATTTAAAATCAAGGGATTTTAAATTTAGGATTTGAAATCCATGATTTAGGAAATATTTTGTTTGGATATCTTTATTAAATGAAAGGATTTGAAATCTTTGATTTCAAAATCTAGTGTTTGGGTACTTTATTATACACGAATTTGAATTTAAAATTGATGAAAATTTATTCTCTTAACCCATCTTGTTTACATCAAATGCAATGGAGATGTGTAAAATAGTAACCAAAAAACACAAATTTAGATAAGTTGATAGCTAAACTCATCTCTGATACTTTGCGAGGCCCCAGCAAACAGATAAAACACTTCATATAATAAGTATCTTTCAATTTTTCCGTTAATGTACTTGGACATCACTTTGATATACTCTCCACTAGTATCTTTCACAAAGACATCCAATAAAAGAGCAAATGTACCAAACCACAAACCATCAAATGCCAATATATTGGAGTATACTATAAGCCACAATCATTCACCATAGAAGCAAACACCACAATTTTAAAATAGTCACAATTTTAACAGTCACAATTTTAACCCAAGGGCACATCTGCAAAAGTGTACACTGCAGGGGTTGCAATATAAAAACGATACCACAGAGAGTATATGCAATTAACCCTTACATATTAGCTACAATCATTCGACAAAGCAGCAAGCTATATCAAATGACAATGAGAACCGAAAAAGGTGAGACCAAAGCACAAGCACTCTCAGCACAATATCACGCTTGACCTGCGAAAAAAAACCCATAACATTGACATTAGAAAAGCCTGAGACTGCTTATGAGAAAAGCACACTGGATATGATCGTAAAAGGATTTGGACAAGAGAAACAATAGCACCTGGTGAGACAAAGCTACATAAGAAAAGGAGTAACTCGCATGAAAGCTATTGGAATAATATAGATTCACTTTAAGTAGAAAATGGAGAAGCTTCTGGATTTGAAGATTCAAAGTAGCAGGACCTGTGATGTGAATTCCAAAATGACACTAATGATTGCATAAATCCCAAAATTGGTTTTTTGATTTGCTGTTCATATCCAAAGTAACACTCTGGGCTCTTGGAAAAGTTGAACATACAAGCAGATTACACATATATCCCGAATATATATTTAGCAGGATGCAAATTTAATGAAGTCCTAAGAAAAAACAACTCAAGACATAGAAATAACACCCTACTTAGAAATAGCATCCATAAGATTGCATGACAATAAAAAATTACATATGCACTAGTACAAACATGAGCTGCCCCAACGGTTGTAACCGTTGGGGCAAATCATGACCCCAACGGTTAGGACCGTTGGGGCAAAAATAACGACCGTTGCGGCAAGTCGCGTTGGGGCTAAGTCAGCCCCAACGGTTGCCGAACTTGCCCCAACGGTTCCAACCGTTGGGGCAAATAGTTTGCCCCAACGGTTGGAACGTTGGGGCATATATTAGCCCCAACGGTTACAACCGTTGGGGCTAATATATGCCCCAACGGTTACAACCGTTAGGGCAGTTGGATAAATTTTTTAAAAAAAGGAAAAACAGCTTTTGGTGTACATGGCATATTTGAAACTGCTTTTTGCTGGAGCAGCCAAAGTCTTAGCTTTCCTTAGTACATCTATTGCTTGTGGTGCACATGGTATACTTGAACCTGCTTTTTGAAAGGGATTATTTAATCAACAGTGGATGAAATGGATGAAAGTAGATAGTTACCAAAGCTAAATCAAATTTCAATAGATTTCACCAGTTCCTCCCATATCTTCCATTATTATACGGCAACCAGAGTTCACCAAAGCAAGGGCATCAGAGTGGTCGATTTCATTCTGTGAAGCACATAGAAATGCAATATCACAACTTTCATTCCAAGTATAATAGTGATATACACAGTTAGCAAAATCAATGTTACAACAGAGACAACCATATAATAGTTGTTTGGGTGGAAAATCGATTTCATTGATGAGTCCATTACAGCTTCAAACACTTACAATAAACTCAAACAACAAAATATAGCCTTTTTATAAGACTTTAAATCAAAAGTTACAATTTTCTCTCAAACTACACACAATAGAAGTTTATCGCCTATTGCTTGTGCGGGATCGTTGCCGGTACCGGGGTTTATCCGTGGACCGCCTACGGATCAGATCCGATGAGCAGAAGTTTGGATAATTAATGCTTTTGCTTCACGAAGGAAGTGATTGCAGTAGTGGCGATTTTGACAAAGCAAAATCACGGCTCTTCTCGGGATTTAAGACTAAGCTTAAATCCGGAGGAGGGTGGAATGAGTCTTAGATCTCTCGAACTCTTGTTTTGTTGAAGAACTCCGCCAAGATCTGCTAACTCTCTGAAATTCGTGCTCCAATCTCCAATTTGATAGCACTTCGTCCTCTTGATTTCCAGATCTCCAAAAATGAACACCCGAGCCCCTATTTATAGGCTTGGTTGGTGGTTTTCTTTGATCAAAACGAGGGATTCCCTCTATCTTCAGTTAGAAACTGTCTAACAACAATATCAGAGCAGTTGGAACCCCAAATCTCGAAAGAATCCGAAAAGAAACCGATTCTGGCTGTTTCACCGAAGTGGCTCGGCCTTGGCCGATCCACCATTTGGTGGCTCGGCCTTGGCCGAGCCACCAAATGGTGGTTTGGCCTGTGGCCGAGCCACTGGTCTGACCGGACTGTTTCGACGCGTCCTGGTCTTCAGAGGCTTTCGTGATTTTCTAGAGTTTGGTTCGTTCCGTCGTTTGTATGTATCTCATTGTTTCGCCAAGTGGTACGCTTCCTCGATTTGCTTTGCGTGTTTCGTGAACGCACAAATCGTTTTGACGGTGGCTGGGCTAATTTTTAGGTTACTTGGCTTGTCGTTTCGACGGCCAGTGAATGCGCTGGCTACTTGGAACTGGCTAATGAGTGCGCGGGCCAATTAGGAATAGCCTGTGAGCACACGAGAGATCTGATTCATCATTCCGGTGACCGTTGAGTGTACGGGCCACTTGGTTGAATCTTCTCAATTTGGAAGACGATGTTTATCGCTTCCTTTTCATCTCGAGCCGCATACGGGAACTTATAGGCATTTTTAGACGCCTACAGATACCCCCTCCAAAGTGTTTCAGCCTTATTCCTTTAAAGAGGAGTCTGAAATACTTTGGACGTGATAGGCCTACACCTTCAGTCGGTATTAAAGGACCTATAACCGATTTCAGTTCTTGACTTCTTTACATTTCAGTCTGTTCAGTATTTCATCGAACAGTTGCAATGCTCCCGGTGCTGCGTTTATCGTCTGACCGTTGCCGAAGTCTTGAATCTGAATTTGGTGAGTTAATTTTGGTTCGTCTCGCTGAGTTGACTTTTGGATTAACTATCTGCATCGCAACGCGTTGACCGGCGTTGACCTAGGGCTACGCGTTGATCCGCGTTAACCTTAGGGTTTCGTGTCGATCGGTGTTGACTCTCATCGCAACGCGTCGACTGGCGTTGACCTAGGGTTACGCGTTGATCCAGCGTTGACCTTAGGGTTTCGAATTGATCAGCGTTGACTCTCATCGCAACGCGTTGACCGGCGTTGACCTAGGGCTACGCGTTGATCCGGCGTTGACCTTAGGGTTTCGCATTAACGTGAGGAGAACCAGTTTATACTCGTGTACTCCTGGGAGTTTCGGAAATTAGTTTAGCCTCGTGTACCCGTCGGAGGTTGACGGGTTGTCCTTAAGAATATTATACATAATATTTTCCAGAAACTTCCCGTCAATTGTGAGAAATAGTTTAGACTCGTATTCTCATTGGAGTATAAATACGAGTGTTGAATACGTCGTAAAAATATCTGAAAAGGGGATTAAAGTGTATATAAATTATCCCAAGTCTTTCTACACGTTCGAGCCAACGTTTCGCACCTCATACGCGTGTGAACCATCAAAAAATGATTTCATCCGGTTCGGTTCATGCCGGTTTGAGTTGGTTCGGGTCATGTGGGTTCGGTCCAACCAAAAACAAAAAAAAAAATCCACTTACAAAACCCGATCCCCTCTCCTCCTTTCTCTTTTGTTTCGCTTCCGGTTTCTAAAGTTCCGCCTCCCCTCTCTTTCATCTTTCGGTTTTGAGCTCTCCTTCTCCAAGAGTTCTAAATCTCCAAGAACTTCCCCACACCAAGGACTCCAAACAAGATCCAAGTCTTCCTCCTTAAAACCCATCAACTTTGATAAGATAAAGCCTCAAAAAAGAAACCCTGACCTTGGCCGAAATCTTCATCTCCCCACAAGCTAGGGTTTGTGATTTTCTTCTTCTTCAAGCTTCAGAACTTGGGTAAGTTTTTTTTTTATGGCTTCAATTCCCTTGCTTTGATTTTAGTTAGTTCTTCATGCTTTGGTTCAATGATTGAAAACCCTAGTTCTTCAAATTTGGGGGAAATCCGAAATTTGCATTGGGTTTGATTGTTGGCCGAATTTTCTTGATTGATTGTGTTCATGGCTTGATAATTTCAACTCTAGCTCTTTAATCTTGGAAGAAAACCGAATTTGGGTATGAAATTTGAGAAATTGGCCGAAATTTTTTACTGTTCATGGCCGAAAATCTTACTGTTCATGGCCGAAAAATCTTGTTGAGTTCTTGGGATTGATGGTTGGCCGACTGATTTCTTGTTGAACCTGTTTATAGCCGAAACATCCAGGTTGACATTGGTGGTATGCATGGCCGAATTCTTGGTTTGTTTGAACCCTTAACTGTACATGGCCGAGAAAATCTTACTGTTCATGGTTGTGAAATCTTGACCGAACCTGTACATGGTTGAAAATTTGTGACGATACTGATTTCTCGAGTTGATGCTCTTGAACTCATGCCTCGTCGAGGTCGAATTTTGACTCTTGGTTAATTGTTGATGATTGCGTCCAAACTTGTATGTGTATTTGAGTGGAGCCTAAACTTGCACATGGCCGAATTTCTGTCTTCAATTGTGAGCATGGCTTGATCACTGTATATGGCTGAAAATTCTGTTGAGGTCTTCGAGCTTTTCATGGCCGAATTCTTTTATGTGCTTGAGCTTTGTATATAATTCGAACTCGTATATAATTGAACTAATGTATATGATTGAACTCGAACTTGTATATAGCCAAGCTCTTGTGTTGTCGAATTCATATGTAACTGAACTCGTGTATGTGATTTGAATTCGAATTTGTATGTGGTCGAAATAACTTGAATGGGGGATGTCGTATAGGTTTAATCGGACCTTCAACTAGAAAATTCTATGTTATAGAATTTCAATCGAAGATTCACAATTTCCCTTTTTAACATTATACTTCCCAAATCTCTGAATGATTGAATTGTTGGTTCTCGTTGCAGGTTAGCTATGGCGACGAGGAAGTCACGTACCGCGAGGGGTCGTTCTGCTACCCAGTCACCCGAGCCCGAACCTTTCAGTTGCACTGGTATAACGTTATCATTTCTCTTATTTACGACTTTAACATCATTGCATCTTGCATCCCCGCTTTGTTCTCTTATTTACGACTTTAACATCATTGCATCATTGCATCATTGCATCTTATTTACGATATGAAGTGGCCGCTTCATATCCGTGTTTCGCTTGGTCACAACACACTTAAAATTAATTTAGGGCGACTTCACCGGTATAGAGCCGTCATTCTCCTTCGTGGGCGTGGCCGCTTCATATCCGTGTTTGCTTGGTCACAACACACTTAAAATTAATTTAGGGCGATTTCACCGGTATAGAGCCGTCATTCTCCTTCGTGGGCGTGGCCGCTTCATATCCGTGTTTCGCTTGATCAAAACACACTTAAAATTAATTTAGAGCGACTTTACCGGTATAGAGCCGTCATTCTCCTTCGTGGGTGTGGCCGCTTCATATCCGTGTTTCGCTTGATCAAAACACACTTAAAATTAATTTAGGGCGACTTCACCGGTATAGAGCCGTCATTCTCCTTCGTGGGCGTGGCCGCTTCATATCCGTGTTTCGCTTGATCAAAACATGCTTAAATAAACAAGCACCTTTTCTTTTTTTTTTCTTTTTTTTTGAAACCCACATGGATGTGTTATGCATGATATCCCCATTTTGTTCTCCTTAGTGAGGCAATCGGGAAGAGCCGCCATTCTCCTTCGTGGGCGTGGCCGCTTCACAGCCGTGTTTTGCTTGGTCAAAACACGCCTAAATTAACTTGGGGCGATTTCACATTGTATCGCATCGCGTGGGGTAAGGTATGTTGTCGCGTTGTTGTGCGATAGCATACTTTATCTTGTGCGCACGTGATACCGTTGAAATCGTCTCACCAATTACAGGATCGTGACTCTATCTCACCGCTTCGTGAAATGAGTTCAATGCTTGTTTTGATAACAAAAAAACGTTATAATTATATTTTGTGAATGTGCATTATTTGTTTCAGTTGAATTTCCTTCAAGGGCGATCAATGCCAAAGCGGTGGAAGGTCGCTCCGGCGAGGCTTACGCCTCTGCCAACGACCCTATGCTCATTCTGGCCATCCCCCAATTTGCTCCGGGTGCACCTGAAGAACTCCCCCAACTAATACGCAAAGGAGATCGTCGTACCTTACGACAATTGATTACCGACGTACCTCTGGTTGAAGATGTTAACTCCACTCATCCCCTAAAGAAGCCAGATTATCTATTTGACGATTCTGTTGAGGATCCGATCATCGTACCCCTCAAGGCTGAGCAGTGGTTACATAAAGATGGAGGGGGCTTCTTATATATCCCTTATATTCCTCGTCATCGCCCATTGATTGAACTACGATGACAGGCTGTTAAACGAGAGATGTCGTGGGATCTGACGGAAGAACGTGAACGTGTCCATTGTGGATACATCACTCATCACTCCACCCCTGGTTCGAGTAACAGAAACCGTATCACTGGATTACATCCTGGTGTATCGGGGCTGAATGACCCGCCACGAGGCGAACTATTCACGGTTGCTAATACTTTGAAGAATCGCCTCGCGAGGCTGGGGAGAGAGATGCCTGCCAATAATCACAGATGTTATGGTTGGGTCCATTCTTCAGATAAATTTTGGTGGTCTCGCCTAACCAACTATGTTCTCGCCCGATGGGGTGAAGAACTGAAGGCTAGCGGGCTATACGGGGCCGTTCGTGCCACTATGTACGGACTAACACTCAGCATTCCTCACTTCCTTGCGTTGATGGAGCTTTACAATCCCGATGCGAATACATTTCTGACGAAGCGTGGGGAATTGGGATTAGCTCTTCATGAAATGCATAAGGTTTCGGGTTTGCCGATGGGAAATATGATATACCAAGAATATTTTCCTTCGAATCGGGAGTTACGTCAGTTGAAGTCAACTACCTCGGATCGTTACGACACTTTGTGGGATCTCACCTGCCATTACTACACCGCTTTGGCAGGTGTTGACCCAGTATTGAAGAGGACCAAACCGCAAATCAGCTTGAAAAGATTTGCAAATTATTTGTTCAGAAATCTAGAAAGCAACTCTGGTGAAGCGATTTGCGAGTTGAGACCACTGACTTTGGCAGAGATTAATGAGTTAATTAAGAAGTCCGACGCGCATTCCTATACCACTGCTGGTATCGAGGATGATTTTCCTGCTGGGACCAAGTTTCACACATTCTTATGGCATACTATGAAGCCTATTCACCCGATGACTCTGTTGGCTGGTTATCTTACCATTTGGTTGAAGAAATGCGTAGTCCCATACCATCCTACGGATGTTCTGCCCGTGGAGGTACTTTACCCCGCTGTTCAGTTGGCTCATAGGAAAAATCTTTCTCTTCTCCCGGCAATGATCGCCGATATCCACCGTGGTCTTCGCCAACTGGTTAGTACTTTCACTCAGGAAGGAAGTAAGCCAAATGCTGTAATCCAAACGGCCAAGGTGGAGCTGCCCTATACTTACCTGATGGCGTGGTTTGCTCTTCACCGTCCTGATATGATAGATGCGCCCAAAGTTGCGAATCAATTCGCCCCCTTGCTGTAACTGATAGAAAATTGTAAATGGAAAGGACGGGGGTTCTCGGACATACGGAAACGATTGCAAGAACATAAATGCTGGGTCTTCTCGACATGTTTCCCTCGATTTTCGGGCCGTTATGGTGATTCATTGGTTGACATGGAGAAACCTGGTACTGGTCAGACTTGTCTTGACGCGGGGTGCTTTGACTGGCTAGTGAACATTAGGCCAGGTTACATGGTTTTCCGAGTAAAGAACTACTGCTACATAGAACCGTATCTACCATGCAGAGTCGCACAACAACTTGGGTATGATCAGATATATGTTGGGAACCCAAGTTCAAGTCTTCGGACTCGCGGTGGCCTAGTAGACGGTGCCCGTGCATGGTTGTGGAATGTTACGGGTTGCACTGGCGCCAGGTTTAGTCTTCCTGTTGCTGAACGCCAACTGGAACTTACCTTCTTATATTGCCGTTGGCTATTAGCGGCCAATGAGTCTGTCGCGGTGAAGCCAATCGTCGAGTTGACAGCCGAAGCAGCAGCTCGGATTGCTACTCAAATGGTTTATGAGGCCGAGTATCAGAAGAGGAAAGACAAAGAACCCGTCGATCCCTTTACAGATAAAGAACAAGAGGACGATCCCTTCCTTTTTGAAGAAGGATGTTCAGATGCAGATGTTGTCAGCGGTAAGGCTAAAGCGGCAGACTATGATGAAGAGCCACAGGTTTGTCAGAGTCCTTCTTCGCAGAACTATTGGATTTGGCAGTCGCCGATCAAATTCGCCGACTCAAGACCCGAAAAAGGTGGAAAGCTTTACCCACTTATCCTCACAAAATGTTTGTTGAAATTCCAGGTTTAGGTTTTGAAGGAGAAAAGGGAGTGAAAGGTCGTCGCCTTACTCGCACTAATTCTCGGATCGTGGCTCGAATTGATCCCTCAATTGAACCATGTGCTGAATCCATACCGAGTAGACCCGCAGATCCTGACGAGGCGCGGCCTTGTAAACGTCAGAAGATGACTTTGAGGCGACGCGTCACCTCGTCGATTCCTAACGCAGAACCACTCGGTGACGTGCCCATTATTGGGGGAGGTAATGTTCTAACTCTTGTCATCTTTCCAAACTTTTCTTCTACCAAACTTTAGATTCAACGGATTTTCTATTCCAGAAGGTCACGATGAAGACTCAATGAGGTACAATTCTCCTTCTCCCGACTTAGACTTTTTTGGAGGGTCATGCTTCGCGCCACCAATAGATGAGGCCGTGAATCAGGATCTAACAGGTATCGAAACAGATACGACACCTGGAGCTGGTGAAGGTATCGTCGTGGGATCTGATTCGCCCATGGTGGTTGCTAACCCAGGTACATCTATTATCGGTAGTACGACTTTTAGATGGCAATCTCGGGTATTAAACGATTCAGAGCTCGTCTCTCCTCTAATTGCTTATATGCTTCTGGCTCTTTTAGAAAAGTTACAAGAGGCGATCATTGACGTTGGGGTTGAAGAGCAGGCTGTCATTACTGAAGGTGAATTTAATTCTCTCTCATTGCCGATTTTCATTTCTCTTTCCATGTCTTAACACTTAGAATTTTCTTCAGATGTTTCAATGGAAGGCTCGAATGATACAAACACCTTTCATCATGTAGCCGATGCACCTCCGTCTGATCCCATACGGGATCCTTCGGGTTCTGAGGACAGGCTACTTGATGAAATGCTGTTAGAGCAAACTCGTCGAGATGCCACCGAACCAGTCATCGAAGCTGTTGAACCGATTATTGGAGCTGGTTCTTCTGTGGGTATGGATTTTGTTCTTTTATAAAAATTATTCCCTTATCGGTTTCACTTTAATCCTTAAGGGAGTCATACTTGTAAGACCAGTCGTTAAGACTGATGCAGCTACTATTGTTGGGATATCTGATGATCCTGAGGGTCTTGATTTCTTACTGTTGGCAGGAACTATAATAGAAACTCAGTCGTCAGTGGCCCAAACTCAGCACACGACCCTGGCAACCGAGGTGACTACTGCAGCTGCGGGGATCTACCCAGCTGAACAAATCGCAAGACCAACTAAAGAAGTCGGTACATCTGCGACTATTACATCCGCAATAACTTCGACAACTCATACAAGCGTGCAAGGGGTGTCGAACGCAGAGTGTCAAACTAGAGAACCTTCAGTAGTTATTGGTGAGCCTTGTTTCGATATTTATCTTGAAACTATTCGGACTAAGATTCCTAAATAGCTACTCTTCTTTTTAGGACTCTCAACTCAGCTTTATGATCTCGTCACGACGTTACTATCTAATAACGACCCAGATAAAATTCTCCTTCTCATGGAAATTCGCTCTTTCTTCTCGTTCGTGAACGAGATGGTTGACAATCTCCTCCGCAACGGGCTTTCTATTAGTCTCTTCAGGTCATATCTCGACAAACAAGTGACTCTTCTAAGGAGTCAAGGGTATTCAGACTTGGCGGACATTATTACTGCAGACTTGGTTTGCCTTGAGTGCGAACTTGCAAAGCTGAAGGGATTTCAGGCAGCCGGAGTTTCTTCATATGTAGACGCTCAGATGGAAGCCAAGTTACAAGCATGGCTCGAAGCTCAAATATCCGTCGATTCTAAGATTCGGGAAGCGGAGGCTCTTGTTCACCAAATGGAAGCGGCTTATGCTGGCAGATCAACAACTCTTTACAATATTGATTCCTCTCTTGCGTCAGGTGATGCCACTATAGCACGACTCGAGCAAGAGTTAAAAGCAGCTAAGGATGCTCAAGCTGCTTTGAAGATAACGAGGGTGCATGCGGAGCGCGCTCGAGAGGAGACGTCTGGACAGCTGACACTCACTAAGGAGAAGTTGGCTACGGCGAAAGCGGAGGCCGTGAAGGTATTGGCTGCTGATGAAGACTCTATGAAGATCACGATACGGAGTGAACTTGAGCAAGCTTATACTGTGGAATTATCTAAGTTAGAGCAGCAAGTTCTTAGCCATAAGCTTCATGTAGATTAACTACGACTTTTGTACCTGCAAACTCAAAATTTTTAGTAATAGAGGATATATATATATATTTTTCGTTTATTATGCCCCTTTTTTTTATATCATGATGTCTTATTCTGTTTGGAATAATCAATCATAATACTTATAGGATTTTTGGCAAATCCTCAGCCTTCAACGGATTTGATGAGCCTTTACCGACTACCGTTTGAGTCGGGCTAGTTTTTGGCAAATCCTCAGCCTTCAACGGATTTGATGAGCCTTTACCGACTACCGTTTGAGTCGGGCTAGTGTGCGGATTATTTTGGATCCGTTCCGCAGTTTGAGTCGGGCTAGTGTGCGGATTATTTTGAATCCGTTCCGCACATAACGTTGCGCTAAGAGAATTAATTCACTTAGACTTGGTGCTATGATTTTGAATACATAGACTTTGTTTTTTCATGGGAGTAGACTAAACGGCCACGCGTGTTAGGCGTTGACTTACCCCTTCTTAGGCTTCGGGATAAAATACCCCAGACTTAGACCCTGGTGTCTTTTTCAATCGGTGAAAGACTAAACCGGCGACGTGTGTTAGACGTAGACTTAGGATTTTTGGCAAATCCCCAGCCTTTAACGGGTTTGATGAGCCTTTACCGACTACCGTTTGAGTCGGGCTAGCATGTGAATTATTAAAACCCGTTTCACATGTAACGTTGCGCTAAGAGAATTAATTCACTTAGACTTGGTGCTATGACTTTGAATACATAGGCTTTGTCTTTCTCATGGGAGTAGACTAAACGGCAACGCGTATTAGGCGTTGACTTACCCCTCCTTAGGCTTCGGGGTAAATTCCCCAGGCTTAGACCCTGGTGTCTTTTTCAATCGGTGAAAGACTAAACCGGCGACGTGTGTTAGACGTAGACTTAAGATTTTTGGCAAACCCCCAGCCTTCAACGGATTTGATGTGCCTTTACCGATTACCGTTTGAATCGGGCTAGCATGTGAATTATTAAAACCCGTTCCGCACATAACGTTGCGCTAAGAGAATTAATTCACTTAGACTTGGTGCTATGATTTTGAATACATAGACTTCGCCATTTCTTACGGGAATATGACACCCGGCAACGCTTGTTAGACGCTGACTCATCCCTACTTAGGATTCGGGATAAAAGTCCCCAGACTATACTCTGGTATCTTTTTCACTCGGTAAAAGACTAAACCGGCAACGCGTGTTAGGCGTAGGCTTATCTCTATTTAGGAATCGAGATAAAATTCCCCGGGCATAAAGTGCGCGGATTTGAGAATTACGTCTTTTCTCAGGGTAAAGACAAACCTAAAAATGAAAGAGGAAGAATTTTATATTCTATCTTTCAACACTGAAGAGGAAGAATTTTATATTCTATCTCCAGTTGGAAAGAAAACTCGAGGTGGGATCTCCACCCCCAAAATCCGAAAAGATGAAACTAAGAGTGAGATCTCCACTCCGAGAATCAGAAAGATTCAAACGACCCTAACTTTTATAGGATTGGTTGTTTGATCTAAGAAAAGAGTTCCTTATTTATTGAGGAAAAATTCCGATTTCGACCCTAACTTTTATAGGTTTGGCTGAAAAAGAATTTATGGAAGTCTTTCGTTTATCGAAAGGGATAACTCAATCTTAGTCCTAACTATCTGCATGTTTGACTAAGTGAGATTGGGAACAATCCTAACTTTTATAGGTTTGATTGTTTGGATTGAAAGTGGACCTCTCGTTCATGAAAAAAATCGAAAGGAGAATTTGGCTTTGGCCCTAACTTTTATAGGTTTGACCTGAAAGCAAAGTGAGTGGAATACAGGTAGTAACAGAAAAACTGGTTTGTACTAGCCACTCAATGGAGGATATCGATGTTAAGTGATTAGGACTTAACACGTTAAGACTTGAAAATTGTCATGAATTGGCGGATTGCAATTTTGGCGGGCCCACCGTCAATTGATTTGATCAGTGGAGGATTTTGTGAGGTAAAATTGATTTGTCAAAATGACCGAATCTCATTTATCAATAATAAAACACGCTTTAACTTTGAATACATTCAGAGTCCAAGTGTGGATTTTTATTTATTACTTTCATAGCACCTGGGTTATCCCTAAGAATACCACATGCAGTATTCTTCGGGGAACTTCCCGATACATTGGTTATCCTGAGTATACTAAGGGTAGTATTTTTTCAGGAACTTGCCGTTTATCGGCATCATAAGCCGGTCGCCTTCCTTGGTAGTGAGGCGATATGCGCCACTCGAATAGACTGTCTCTACTACGAACGGCCCTTCCCATTTGGGTTCAAATTTGCCTTTCTTCTTGGAGTTAAGGATCATAGGCCGTCTTTCAGTTAAGACCAAATCTCCTTCTTTAAAACTCCGTTGTTGAACATTCTTGTCGAAAGCTCGAGAAATTCTGGCTTGGTAAAACTCAATGTGTTGTTGAGCTTCTAAGCGCTTTTCATCGAGCATCTCGAGTTCTTTGAGACGTTTCTGATGTTGTTCTTCGGTCGTCATCTGGGTTGCGAGAGCGATTCGAAGAGATGGAATTTGTATTTCTAACGGAAGGACGGCTTCACACGCGTACACCAAGGAATACGGGGTTGCGCCAGTAGGCATGCGAATTGTGGTGCGGTAAGCCCATAGTGCTTTGCCGAGTTTATCATCCCAATCTCGTTTGTTAGTCTTCACGAGTTTTGATAAGAGCTTGATGATAGTCTTGTTAAAGGCTTCAGCTAATCCATTTGCTGTGGGATTATAAGCTGTTGACGAGACGTCTTCAATTTTAAACTTCTCGCAAAATCTGATGAATGCATTACTGACAAACTGAGGACCGTTGTCATGTATGATCCGTCTTGGGACACCATATCGGTAGATAATATGGTGTTTGATGAATGCGATAACGTTGTTTGTCTTAACTTCTCTGAGTGGAATCGCTTCAGCCCATTTGAAAAAGTAATCGGTAATTACGAGAATAAATCGATCACCTTTGACTGACGGGGGATTTATAGGACCAACGATATCCATTCCCCAAGTCTCAAAAGGCCACGAGGTCGTCGAAGGATGTAAATGCTCCGGGGGTTGGTGCATATAATTCGCGTGCACTTGACACGCATGACACTTCCGGGCATATGCGACTGCATCTTTGATCATGGTGGGCCAATAATACCCTATTCTTCTAATGCGATCATAAAGTTTGGGGCAAGGTTGGTGTGCACCGCAAACACCTTCGTGTGTCTCTTTCAAGACTTCTTCTGTTTCTTTAATCGATAAACAACGTAGTAGTAAATCATTATACCCCCGGCGATATAATGTTCGACTCTCCGTGTTATAGTAGAATCTTGGTGCTTTTCGTCGGATTGAATCCCTCTCCTTCACGTCTTCTGGTAATATTTCATGCAAGACGTAATCGATGATAGGGAAACGCCAATCTCGGGGTTCAAACTCGACTTGGGTTGAATATACCTCATTAACATCCTCTTCTTTGTCATCTTCATCGTAGATTGACACTAAGAGTTGGTGAGTTCTTACTGTAACAAACTGTTCTGTTTCAGGAGGCTGTGCCAGAGATACGGCTAATGCTGCTAATGCATCTGCGTAATGCCAGAGATACGGCTAATGCTGCTAATGCATCTGCGTAAGCGTTCTGTAATCGCGGAATGTGTTCGATGAAGAATCCTTCGAACGATTCTGCCATCTCTACAGCCATCTTATGATATGGTATTAAATCCTGACTTCGGACCTCATACTCTCCTTGAACCTGCTTAACTATTAGTTGAGAATCGCCGAACGCTTCGAGATACTCGACCCCCAGTTCTTTAGCGAAATTGAGTCATATGAGTAGCGCGTTATATTCGGCAACATTATTTGAGCATGGCTCGGTCAACGAGTAGGCTCGAGGCATTACATGTTTTCCTGGAGAAACTAAGACGACCCCAACTCCAGAAGAAATCTTAGAACATCTAGGAGCACTTGCTACATTAGCTGCTCGAGAAGCACCGTCGAAGTACAAACGCCACACTTGTTGGTGCGAAGTTGCATTGACTTCGTGGGTTTCATCTGGAAGATCGTCATATATCTCGGCAGTATCCGTAGTTGGGTTAGCTGCCAGGAGGTCACAAATGGCCTGTCCTTTTACCGACTTCTGTTGTTTAAAGTGCATGTCATATTAGGATAGGAGCAAGGCCCATTTTGCTAGTCGCCAATTCATGAAAGCCGGTTGTGTCATGAACACTCAGACTGGGTTAACTTTGGAGATAACATAAATAGTCTGTCCAACTAGGTAATGTCGCATCTTCTGAATTGCGAACACCAAGGCGAGGCATTCCCTTTCAATCATGGGATACCGGGATTCAGCACCTACCAAGGTCCGGCTTAGATAATATACTGCCTGTTCGTTATCGTCATCTTGTGCAAGTAGTGCACTTAATGAGTGGCTCGTCGCCTTGACATAAATCAAGAACGGTTTGCCCGATTTTGGTGCAACGAGTACAGGAGGTTTTGAGAGATATTCTTTAATACCCTCGAATGCTTTTTGACAAGCGTCGTCCCATATGAATGATACGCCCTTCTTGGTGAGTTTGGAGAATGGTTGACATTTTCCTGAGAGGTTCGAGATGAACCGACAGATATAAGCCAACCGTCCTTGCAGCCCTCTGAGTTCTTTGAGATTTCTCGGGGATTGCAACTCGTTGATCGCCTTTACTTTATCAGGGTCGATGTGAATACCCTTAGTTGTGACGACGAATCCAAGTAATTTACCGCTGGACATTCCGAGAAAAGATTTGGTTGGATTCATCTTCAGTTGATGAGTTCGCATCAGATCGAACATTGTCTTCAAGTCTTTGATGTGATCATTTTTATCACGACTTTTCACAACGAGATCATCCACGTAGCACTCAACAGTCTTTCGGAGATGCTCTTGGAAAATCTTCGACATGGCTCTCTGATACGTGGCACCTGTATTCTTTAAGCCGAATGGCATAACCGTATAGCAGAAAACACCAAGGGGTGTTCTAAATGCAGTATGTTTTTCATCATCTGGATGCATCTTTATCTGATTATAACCGGAAAATCCGTCCATGAAAGACATTCTTTCGAATCCGCACGTGTTAATAATAACGTCTGTGATGGGAAGAGGGAAATCGTCTTTTGGACATGCAGTATTCAGGTCTCTAAAGTAGATACAAATTCTGATCTTCCC